ATGACCCAACCCGTGCACGTGAGTTGACTCCTGAATAAGTTGTCAATGTGCTGCTAAAGGTTGATCGACTCATTGTGTTGTTGCTATTGCTGTTTTTGTGCCTTTGCAGACCAAGACTAGAGGTTGTATAGAGTTGCAAAGTATTGAGCATACTCAACTTTATGCTGGTTTGTGCGTTCACATGTTGTTGCTCATGAAATTACACTGGCGACTTCAGTTCTTCTAAAAACCAACAAAAAAACTTCCTCTGGTTGGAAATAATCACCCGAAACAGACATTTTGATCATTACCCCAAATTTGTACGACAATGTGGGACACACAGGTATTAGCGCTAGACATAAGGTCTAACATTTTCTGAAATCTTACTTCGCCTCCCTATATTCAGCTGGAGTACAACGCCAGCAAATCGCAATTTGCGCAGAAGAAGTCAGACCTCTTGTCTAACACAAAATGGATAGCCATGATTGGGAGAAGCTAGAGAAAACAGTTCGTGATATTCGTGAAAACACAGTCACCGCGCGTTCGAGGGCCACCTACCAGAACTCATACTGCCGCTTCCTCGCTTGGATTATCCGCAACAAGCCGCATCTCGTGCCCAAGCCCTTCCTCGATGGCCTCGGTGACATATCAGAGTGCACGTTGCAGCAGCTGCGCTCTCGTATCAAAGATCTCGCTACGCAAAGACGCACTGTCATCCCGCTAGAGTTTGAGGCCTTAGATGCAGCTGATTTTGTCACATGGCTTGTGACGCTCGAGCGAAAGGATGGCTGTGCTCTAAGCTACTCTGCCCTAAACACTCACAGGGCGGGGTTGTTTAACTTGTTTCGTGACTACGGCCGTACCATGACCAAGAATTTAGACTCCGAGCTGACAAACTACTTTAAAGGACTCAAGCATAAACTTGCCAAGGACGCAGCGAACGGCGAGAGCTCTGTCAAGACTGGTAAGGACCCACTCATGTTTGATCTGCACTCTTTCTTGTGCAAAGAGATGCTCTCTCACTCGGGAAGGAGATGGCATTTGCTCACGCGTACATGGTGATTGCGTGGAACCTAATGTGTCGGTCGTCTAATGCTTTTGGCATTCGCCATTCACACATGGAATGGAGGGGTGATGCACTGCAGATTTACTTCGCGCATATGAAGAATGATCAAGGAGGGGACCGACCGCGTGACCCGCGCCATATCTACGCGAACCCGCTACAACCAAGTATTTGTCCAATTGTGGCACAAGGTGTATATTGGGCGGTTTCTAATTTTGGCGACGGCGATCTCCTTTTTCCTGGCAGTAACCAATACGAGCGATTTCGGAAGTGCTGGCTGCGTCTACTGGCGCAAGAGAGTGTCGCGACGGAATTGCAGCGCCAAGGGATTGTCGCTACTGAGCTGGGGACTCACTCTATGCGGAAAGGATCAGCGACGTTTTGTTCGTCAGGGTCAACGGCTTGTCCTTCATCAACGGCGGTTCATTTGCGAGCCGGCTGGTCGCTTAGAGGTGTTCAAAACACCTACCTCCGATATGAAGCTGCTGGCGACATGCATGTCGGTCGTACAGTGGCTGGATTGCCTACCGAAAGTTACCTGTTCTCGACGTTAGCACCACATTTTGATTCACGAGATGAGAGCGTCGAAAACGGGATGAAGTTGATGTTCCCTGGCCTACCCAATAGGCTCGAGTATATTGCAGAATTTTGTCTTGCTTCGCTGGTCTATCATTCCTCTTTCCTGAAGGCTACGCTTTCTCCACAGCACCATTTATTTGAGACGCCGCTTTTCCAAGACGAAGAACTGCTATTAAATCTCACAACCAGAATAAGAACGGGTGATGGTTGCGCTGCGGCGCGTATACGACCGACTGGGGTACCACCTCACGTGGCTATACTCTGTGAAATGAAGGGTCTAAAGGACGGTTTGCTGAAATCGGTGTCAAAAGTTGAAGCTACCCGGCTTGATACTGTTCAAGATATTATATCCGAGCTCGAGAAGCGAGCTATAGGTGCTGGAACGGCTACTTACGACGGTCTTCATGATGCTATAAGAGCGTGTCTTCATGATAGTGGCGTTGGCGAGCTTGTCGAGAAGCTATCCAGCAGACAAGAATCTGTTGTCGACGCTGCCACTGAAGGCAACGAGGGTCAGCTTTGCCACTACTGGAGTGGAAAGTTTCGGCGTGTACCCGCAGATTTTACCATCCCTGATTGCTCCGTACGTCACGTGTGGGTGCTGTGGATGTGTGGTAACAAGTCGAAGCAGATACCACCGCTTCGCCGTCTTGATGGTCGTGATATGCCCAACAGGAAGATGCAGAAGCGTCTTAGCCAGCTTCGGTTTGTGGTGCTCAAGATTGAGAAAGATGCAACATCTAAAGAGCTGTTTCCTTGTAGCACTGCCATCGATGCTGCAACCGATGTGTTCATTAAGTGCGCAAGCAGCGTCGCTGTAGACGACATCACCGAACACTCAAGAAAGCGACGCCACGGGCAGCTGAGCTGGGCGACAGTAGGAAAACTGTTGAGGAAGAAAGCAAAAACAACAAGTCGTTAGCAGTGCGTATCAATGAGAACCAAGGAGCTACAAACTGCTTACATTTGTACCCACCTACCAAACATCATACAGAGCAGAATTGTTGGTTTGACAATGTCTGACTAGTTCCGTCTAAGAATCATTCTCCCAATTTGTACGACAATGTGGGACACACAGGTATTAGCGTTAGACATAAGGCTACATTTCTGAATCTACTTCTCTCTATATCAGCTGGAGTACAACGCCAGCAAACGCATTTGCGCAAAAAAGTCAACTCTGTCTACACAAATGATA